TATATATATATATATATTTATTATATATATATTTATTATATATATATATATATATATATATATATATATATACATATTTACAGACAGACAGACACACATACAGACGTACTAACAGACGGACATAATGATATATATATATATATATATATATATATATATATATATATATAGAGAGAGAGAGAGAGAGAGAGAGAGAGAGAGATATGGGTGAGAGGATGTATATAGGGGTGAATAGAAGGATTGATATATATATTCACTTCCTCAATAACATATGCTATTTTTAACTTTACTTACATGTAGGGATAGGAATAAAAATATCTTTATATATTAAGGTCTCATCTCCATATACAGTTTGACATTCGTACGTCCCCAAGGCTTGTAAACACCCCAGGCTCGTGAGATGCCCTCTTGCCCCCACGATATCTTGTTGGAGATTAGTTTCTTGTATGTAGACGTCGTTGGTCGGTGGCCGTTTTCTTCTTATGGTAACTGTGATTGGATTATCTGTTGCGAAACAGTCTAATTCCAAATCATACGCCATTGAGCCCACTTTGTGTGTCAAAATTCCCTTAAATGAAACATTACCTGTGAAATTAAGATAAAAGAACTATAATTTGAATTTTTTTTTTTAAATTGATGTCAATTTGTTTTGTGTCCTTAAAAATATGAAAGACAGTTGTTGTTTATGTTTCATTTTCATCCTCCATGAGAATTATCTATAACGTCATGCATATCTGAATGAAACTCCCATAATGTAACATATTATTATGATATTAGGAAATATAAGTTAAATAAACATTGTTAACGGCAATTCCGCTGCAGCAATAGACAGATACATTTTTGTTTCAATCTATCCACACTGGTTTAGTTAATTTAAACTCGTACGCAATGGTACACTCTCAAAAACACACAATCAATATTTAATTAAACATCTTTATTTAAGATCCGAACCAAAGGATCTTCAAGTCTATATTTTTGTGTGTACTAGAATTCACTATTCATCCATTGTCAAGTTCTTTTCCTATACATTTTTTTTCATATTCTTAGTTTAAACAATAGATGAATTCTTTTTTTTTTTAAATTGTTTTTTTTAATAAAAATAATAAGAATATACTCAAACGTCTTTGAGAAAATAATTAACAGGTTTAAAGATCGAAGTTATAAAACATATTTATTGATTCCAATCTACTTGTTTTAACAGAAAGTGTGGTATCGTTTCCATTCAGGTGCATTAACATTCCTGTTTTGGTGTGACACATCCATTAAATAGTCGGTCAATGGAGGGAGACCCAAATAGGAAGACTGTAAATGATTATTCGGTACTTTGATCGATCCACACATTTTAAGGTCATTCAAATGTATGCTAAAATGATCACTGGCATCTGAAATGGGCTTTCCAATACACAAAGTATCGGGTTGAATATGGAGTATGAATAATACAATACTATCACATATATAAATTATTTCGTCTAAGTAAAGGTCTTTGAAATTATTATAGAGAAACACTTATTTCGGAAATAAAGTTGATAAGTATCTTGGTAAATGCATATTTCTTTAATCAATCTATATTTATAAAATATTAAATGTTATCCTATTATCGTGTGTAGGTGCCATTAAACATACCAGAAGTCACGGTTGCGTTCAGGCTTAATACAGGAAGACACAAGCCATACGTCATCAGTACAATACTTGCTCTCAACATAGTATTGAATCCCATAGTGGCAGCTTTGTTGGTGTGTTTTTTCCAAACGTTCAATTATGAATTTTCTTAGCAGAAAATACTCCTAACAAATTTTGCTGGTGTTTTAATTCTAAAATGAATGGTAATATTAAAAATGCCATTTAAGCTGAAGAAAATAACAATAAATAATTAGTGTAATTAATACTGAAGAAATTAATTATATTTTTAAGCAGATGCATTGCTAGCATTTTGCATAATGTAAAATATTATTTTCCATAAAATTAGTAACTAAACAAAAAATTTAAAACAATAAATAAATAAATGAACAAGCACTCAAAAATACACAGAAACCTATAAAAATTCTTAAAAGTATATAAAGGTACAACTATATTATCTTAATATACTTATGAAAAATACATCGATTCAGTAATCTCGTTTATAAAATCACACGATATAGACCTTAACTCGTACTGTATGATGTGTCATCCTTTTAAAGTTGACATGCAAACAACCCACACAAAACATACATCTGTACAATCTGAAAAAGTAATCAACGTTGTTGTTTTAAAAAAAAAAAATTGTTCTTCGTTATCAAGAAATGAAACTGAACACTTCAACAGACAACGAATTGAGTTTCAGTTTTCTAGGAAAAGAAGCGTGCTACGCCTCATAGTGTAGGGCTCACCGAGTCGTCTTAAGGATAAGTGCAGCCTGCAGTTTTCGAAAACACATGCACATAGTTTATAGTTATTTTTAATTTGTAATTTTTTTTTGGAAAAAAAACTGAAGAGAAGAAGAAAGAAAAAAAAATTACTTAACATAACGAAGCAGTGCTCTAGATGGGTCAGCCAAAAAAATTTATAGATCGTGATTGGAATTCTTATTTGTATAGCTTTTTATGCATCGTAATATTATATGTAGTCCAATTTTGTTAATGAATTTTAATAAAATGGAATGAATTAAAACGTGCCTGGTTATGAATAACGCGCCATTGTGTTAGTGAAATCTGAAACCTCACTGTGCTTAAAATGCTCGCTTTCCTAAGATGTACTTAGTGAGGATTTTAAATTCCCGTAGTTGTTTTTTTTTCCTATTAAGTGAAAGTAGTTTTATCTTTTAAATAATTCAGCTTGAATAACAATTTTATAAAGTTTCGTTTAAATAATGAAAGAAAAAGTCATTGATTTTTAAAGCAAATTAAAATTTACCAAACATACTCCCTCCTCCCCCCCGCACACACACACACAATTATTTCAGAACCACTGAAACCGGACATCTTTGACCTGATTTTAACCAGGATGTCATTAAATTAGTAGCAATTAACAATGTACTTCTGTTCGCCAGTTTCTTGCCGCTGTATTATTTCTAATTTTAAAATGACTGTGAATCAAACTTTAATACTGTGCTCTATTCTTTGTTATATTTTCATTTCTACTGTTGGCCGAGGAAGGCTTTATGCCGAAATGTCCTTGTTTTTTGTCCTGTTATCTTATTCAAGCTTTACAAATGACTCGTTTTGCAATTTTATTTATTTACTAATCTTGAAAGCAGTCCTTTCATTTATAATCTTTCATTAGGCGTTTACATGGCAAGACATTATAACCCTAAATAACTACTATATAATGACTTAAAATACAATTGAAACATAATGTTAATTCAAAAATAAAATAAACTTGATACGATTCGACTCGTGTTTCTAAGAGTGATTGGCTCAATCGAGATTGTAAGCAGTGAGTCACTGTGCACTTGAGATCTCTGACTCCCGAGTGTAAAACTATGTATGTACTTTCTCGAATATGAAGGAAATTCCCGACTCATGAGTGGAAAGCTATGGCTCAGCCTTCTGACAAACGGACCCAAATTTGATTTAAAAAAAAATTTAAAAAAAAATTAGTAACACATTTTTTAAATACCTTCGGAGAAGTTTATGTATAGTTTTAAAACATTGTCCTTATCTCAATTAGAGCTTTGTGGAGTAAATTCCCCTCTTCCCCGATATGTTCAGACCTTTCTAGAAGTTTTTAGTCATATCAAACAGAAAAAAAAATGGAATATTTTCTCAATGATAACATAAACAAGCCAACTGTGTAGGTCTTTCAACTGATTTTTTTTTGGCGAAATGACTGTCGTATAATGAATGAAACAAAATAACACTTGAATTCATTTTATTAACACATTCTTTCACACACCTTGTTTAAGAAATTCATGTAACGATGTACAAGCATTCAAGAACAATGTTTTCATGATTATTTTTATTTTAAACAAAAAAATAAACAACAAAAATTTAAAATAATGGTAAGGAAAATAAACACTCATCCCAACCGCCTCCCCCCCCAACCACACACACACGCCATCATAAAGAAACAACTCATCAACAAACAGGATACTGCTATGTATTAGTGTATTTAAATAGAGTTCGTTGTATGTGTGATGAATACACCCACCATGCTCCTAGCTCGGTGCTTTATATTCAACATTTGCATATGGATTGTCAATATGTGGTTTTGGCTTCACCGTGTCATATATATGTTCTACGGGGATTTCTTTACTTGAACCACCACCACCACCGTCGCATGCTAAATGGACATCTGCGACCATGGTGTTCACATTTTCGTAATGGTGCGCCTGTGGCGTTTCGTCAGAAATGTGCTCAGACTCTGGACTTGAAGATGACTTGTCTTTTTCAATGTTCAATTTGACGTATTTGATTGTGTCACTCCTACGCATTTCTTCTTGTGTACGTATCTCAGACTTTTCCTCTTCTTCCTTTGCTTCTTCTATCTGAGCTTCCGAGGCTGAGGGTAATATATGTGTGTTTATAAGTTAGACAAAAGTAATGTATGATCAATTACATATATACACACAATGTATACATACTAGAAAGAACCGGCCAAACACTGACGGCAGCAATGCGTTAACTTCCCAGCTTCTCGAGTTACTTGATGAATATTGTATTTAAGAAAAGCACTCATAAGAATACCAAGTAGTGCCACCTTCCTGGAATTCTATTTACTGAACACATCATTACAGCCATGCATGGATAACTAGAGAATTATCATATAATGTATTTATATCAAAACAAATATGGAAGCTTGCCAAATATTTTCTTTAAAAAAATAATTTTTAAAAAAAAGTTTTGTAAAACAAAACTATATTTCATAATTCAAGAATAGATTTAATGTAAATTATTTTAGCGATCAAGTATTGTTTTCACTAAAATTTGGCTAGAAAAAGGGAAGACAAATCAATGCAAGGAACATATAGAATTTACAGTTTGACAATTATTTATTTCGACTTCATTTTTCTAACAGCCTAGTTCTTTAAATTTATTTTTTGATAAACAATTTATGATTGAATATTAAAACGTAAAATAGTGTGGCTGATGAAATTTTTTTTCAAAAAAGATGACAAACTCAAGCATAAATAACTTACACTTTTTGTTTCGACTATTTCTAGTACATAATATTATTACAAAGCACAGCAGTACTGCCATCATCAGAACTAGAAGACTTACATAACCCCAAGGTGCAGTTAAAATTTCTATACCTTTTGCCATTAATTTGTAGGCTGAAACAAAGAAAGACACAATGCATTATTTCTTTTGCTGCAGTGTTTAAAAATCGTTAATCCCATCGTGTATCGAGTTTCATATAAAATGACTATTGAGTACAAGATTCGAGTTGAATAAATGACTAAGTGTATCAAAGGGACTTTTAGTGTTCTTCTCTGCTACTCTAACTAAAAGGTCAGTCCTTTTTAAAACGAGTTTTAACAAGACTACTAATACCCACACTATTTGTTTTTGTTTTTTTTTTAAATTTAAAACATCTTAAATGTAAATAGCATCAAGAAACAGGAAAAAAAAATATGCTTCCTCTAAATTCGCTAACAGGGATTTTATTTTTCATTTTTTACTTAACGATTTGTCAATATAAATTAGAATTAAAAAACTAATTGACCAAAAAAACCAAATACAATATGTGTACAAGTTAACAGTACATACCTTAGCTGCAACTTGAAATGACGATCTGTGTGAAAAGGTATACTTTTTTATTTTTATTTTTTAAACAAAGAAACTAATTATTACATTCTCTTACAAAGTGTAACAGATCCCATGCTGAAGGCAATAAACCAGGAAATTGATTAGTAGAGATATGGTGTATATAGATGGCGTGACTAACAATGATCCCTGGATACATGTGTTTCAAAGTAACGTTACTTAACACAGCCACGTTTTATTTCATGATAAAATACAATGCGACCTTGACCAGGGGTTCTAAATCACATTTAAATGATGCCTGCAACATGAATGTTTATTTTTTTTTTAAATGCCAACTATAGATTCTCATTATCATGAAATTAAGTGCAGATGACTAAAATGTTGTGATCATACATCTGAGTAACACATTTACCATATAGATTTGCAATGAGGAGTACATTTTGCAAATAGGTGACTAGGACGAATTTTCCATTCCATTTGAAGATAGTGATAAGGAAATAGAATGAACAACAATGGGCAAAAATGGCATATGTTCTATATTTGTTAAAATGGAATATGTTCTATATTTGTTAAAATGGCATATGTTCTATATTTGTTAAAATGGCTTATGTTCTATATTTGTTAAAATGGCCTATGTTCTATATTTGTTAAAATGGCCTATGTTCTATATTTGTTAAAACGGCATATGTTCTATATTTGTTAAAATTGCCTATGTTCTATATTTGTTAAAACGGCATATGTTCTATATTTGTTAAAATTGCCTATGTTCTATATTTGTTAAAACGGCATATGTTCTATATTTGTTAAAATTGCCTATGTTCTATATTTGTTAAAACGGCATATGTTCTATATTTGTTAAAATGGCCTATGTTCTATATTTGTTTTTACTATCATAGCTTTGCCTTTGCCGCTTTAAATTTCAAAATAAAATGTTTATTGATTACAATTTGTGTACAAAAGATTTGCCCAATAACTTACATTTAAGAAAAAAAGAGCAGTATAATGTATAACCGTCCGTAACTTGTTATAGAAATGAGCACAACTAGGATTCATTTTTAGAGACTATATATCTTGCGCATCAATTAAAGTTTCTCTAAAAATACTTTAGAACAATGAACAACATCGATATTTTTTTTTTCCTTGAAATTTTAATTACGTTTTATTTGATGGACGCGTTAAAACTATGATCTATCTAGTAACATATAGAGGCAGGGTGTCAGTGTCCAATTCATGTCTGTAATGTGTCATGCAACTTGAAGTATGATGATCATTTAATACCGTTAGTATATTGTTAAGATAAATATATATATATATATATATATATATATATATATTTATATATGTATATGCAACAGAGACTGCCATTCGAGGATTGGTCTCAACAACCACACCAAGAGATGCCAGCAATAAGGATAATCTATCGTCTCCCGCCGATGGAAAGATGCCATACATATATATATGTATATATTGATTTACCACAAAAAGCAAAGCTTTCTGTATACTTATGACGGTACGTAAAACAACTACAACAACTATATTATAAAAACAAAAACAAAAATAAAATTGAAAAAAAAAGCAACAACACAAAAGGCACAAACAAATAAATACCAACAAATGTTCTGTAATAATCTATGTAATGTTTTCATTCAATAGTATTTGCTATTATCTTAGTGAGGTTAGACAAACAACTTCAAATGCCTTTCTTTCACATTTATATCGCGCCTATGATCACGTTAGTGTAACGGGTAGTTCCAGCATCTTTTGATTTTCCACAAGTTGTTCCAACCTTCATTGTCTCTCCGTAGTGAACATTCAAATAACGGGCACTGTCTGATTTTGTCTTGACATTCTCGTAGAGGTTCTCCTTTGTCATTGTGGCATGTCTCAGCTCTATATCGCCGCTCGCTGAAGGACGGTGATTGGTTTCACTAAGTGTAATTTTGTTCAAAAGTGTTGTCCTATTGGCTATGTCCTCGTACCACAAGCCTTCTTCATTTTCAGGACATGCTCCACTCTTTTCGATGCTTGTTTTGCTTTCTAAAGGTGGAAACATAAAATATGTTTTTTAAAATAATTAGTTTTAGAAGAAAAAGACTTTTCATTTTATTTTAAGTTTTATTTAACATAACCAGTGGAAAACAAAGAGACATGTCGATAATTGAACACTTACTAGGCGTAATTACTTAACATGCAATCCTTTTAATTACTATTTTTTGTGTCACGTGTAACACACTCAATAAACATGATTCTGTAGCCATGGAATAAATAACGGTGTAATGTTGTATTCAATAGAGCTCACACAACAAAACAAAAAACTCCCGATAACTGTGCTAAATGAGATTCTTAAACTTACGTAGGTTTGTAACGTAAAATATTCTATAGTATTACGGAAATAGTCTCATTTCAATTATGATGCTATTAATCTGCAGTGTAAAAGTTGATAGGTCATTAGAATATTACTATAGTTAGTGGGTGAAAATAAAGTGTGCTGTTGTGTAAAAAGGTGGTTAGCACTAAGTTGGATTCTTATAAGGTGGGTTATTCCTTTACTTGGAGAACTATTTGAAGAAAGATGTTTTTGCAAAACTAAACACATTTTGGATGATACATCCCACCGTCTTCATGACAGATACTTAGGATCGGGCCGTTCGGGACGAATTCTTTCCATCAAGACGAGGACTGAAAGATATAAAAATTATTTTGTTCCCCAATCTGTACGAATTTACCGGCGTGTTTCCTCTGAAGTCATACATCTGAATGAGAACTAATACTCCCCGAGTTTGCTAGGAGAAGTAACTGAGTGGCTGTTTGAAATAATTTATTATAAATGTCTTGTGTTCAATTTGTTTTATTTGTTTAACTGAAAATGTATTGTGCAATCAAAAAACATTTCCATTTATTTGGGTTAATAAAAGAATCTTATCTTATCTTATTTGGATTCTTGTTTTATCAAGAAACTTTAGTAAATGGGAAGTCAGTTGGATTGTCATTGCCATTGTTTGATGGGCTACAGCTTGTATGTACGTAATCGATAGTTACAAAAATACACATACTCTGTTAACACATATTCAATTCAAAAAAAGTATGTTAAGAAAATTATATTTACACATATTACGTTAACACACATTACAGGAACACATATTTTTTAATAAAAATATATTAACACATATTACAATAATACTTACCACATTAGAACATATTACAATTACACACACTATATGGAAAACATAATGCATTAACACATATAAAATTACCACATTTATTACATTAAACATAATAACATTATGACATATTATATTAAAACTTTGTGCATTAACTCAAATTACATTAATAGAGACCACATTAAAACATATTTATTTTTACGCATCACATAACACATATTACATTAAAACAACAAATTTACACATATCGCATTAGCTATTCATATTAAAATATATGGAATTAACACATAATACATTTATACATTTTGCATTAACACATATCGTATTAACGCATATAACTTTAATACAGATCACAGTATTATATACTATTTTATACATAAACACATTAACGTGTTTCACATTAACGTATATTGCATTAACATATTATTATGTTGACGACGCATTTACGTCATCTTTCCCGTGAATGAACTTTAGCTGACCCTGAGCTCGGTACCGTGATTAGGGTGTGGCTAATTAAAAATAATATCTCGTTTGCAAAAAAATAAGTCTGTATAACTAGAATTATGTAGACTAATCGAGACTAAGCAAGGAATAAATCAAATGTGTAAGCCCGCTCTAGAATTGTCTCTGAAATAGGCTATACATATACCTAGATGGATGAGCATGAGAGAGAATTGCTATGCGAGACAATATTTTTACAAAAATATTTTGCCTTGCGCGTATATGTTCCTTTTTCAGCATTAGCCTTTTCATTATTATGCATTTCTATATTGTACTAGCACTAGACCTTATTATACTGTAAATGATAGTTAAGTTTTTATTTATTTTTGATTTTGTAAATTTGTATCTAGTTAATAAAATGATTAATTGTAATAAAACCAAATTTGTGTATCGTTTCTTTATTATATTATTTAGTTGCATTGCTGCGTAAGGTTTTTTCCAGGACCCATAACATTAAAAAGGAGATTATGTATACTTACGATGGTACGTAAAAATATAGTACATTAACACATCACATTAACATGCCTAACATTACCATATATCACATTAACACATATTACATTAACACGTATTAAATAGGCACATATTACATTAACACTTATTACATTAACAAATGACACTAACACGTACCATATTTACACATAATTGCATTAACATATATTACATTATATCACATTTACACATATAAAATTGACTTATATATAACATTAGTATATATCACATTAACATGTACTGCACTAACACTTATTAAATTAACATATACTACACTAACAAATATTACATTAAAGCATATCATATGAACACATCAAATTAGCACGCGTTACATTAGCACGTTTTACATTAACACATATCACATCAACACATATTACATTAAGACATATTAATTTAACATATAGTATGCTATTACATTTTTAAGTCTATTTTTTCTATTTCTTTAGAGTAAGACAATGTATACTATTTTTTTTGTCCCTGCAGCTTATATAGTCGCTTTCTACAGTCAGGGTCATGGGTCCCACGCCCCACAAGGGGGGTGGGGGGTGATTTGATTGTTTGGGGGGGGGAGCGTGAAAAAATGAGCTGTCTAGAATAGGAAAACAAACCATCTACAATGATTAAACTTGTATTTTCAAAGAAGGGCAACATTAAATTCTCCATTTCTTGCTGTAACTGGAACTGTCAATCATACACTTGAGGCTAGTTTTGAAATGTCCATACTCATCTCTAACTATGGGTAAACTCATTCTATAGAATAAAATTAAATCAAACCATCAATATCAGTATTTCTTAAAACGGTTCTGGAAAAAATATGACAAAGACGTGAAAGCTAGGCCACTCAATAACAAAACTGTTAGCGGAAGAATAGGCGAAATGGGTGAAGATTTTGAAATACGACTTGTTGAAAAGCTGAAAACGAAAATAAATATCAGTGGGAATGGATGAATCAACTTTGTGAGACAGTATTGTTTTATTGATAACTTACGTCAGATATTGATAAAGGATATTTTTATGAAGAAATTTTGTTATGTAAATCATTGGAAAGCACAAATACCGTAAAAAGATATATATCTAAAAAACTTTAAAATAAAATACTTAGATGTCAAGAATATGCCAATGAAAAATATAGCATCTTGTGCTGCAGATGATGCTCCGAATAAAATGGGCAAGAAAAAAGGCTACTTTAAATTGATGAAATATGATAATCTAGAAATGCTAAAATTACTGGTGCCTTGTGTTATTCATAGTGAAAACGAAGCAAATAAAAAAGAAAATCTCCTTTCTAAATGAAGTATTCATTTTAGTTAGAGAGTGTATCAATTATTTTAAAGCTGATTTCAGTTAGAGAGTGTATCAATTATTTTAAAGCTGATTTCAGTTAGAGAGTGTATCAATTATTTTAAAGCTGATGCCAACTGTGAACGTTTCTTCAATTATTTTGTGAAGAATAAAATCCAGACTATGTGAGACTTTTACCTCACACTGAAGTAAGTTGGCCTTTGAAAAGGAAATGCTTGAAAATATTTATAAAACTATTTGATACTCTTGCAATTTTTTTTTTTTAAAGTGACGAACCTTTTAAGTATCTGTTATCGGGCGATGTAAAAGCATGTGTAAGTTGTTTAGGAATCTTTGGAAATCGAACTATATGTTAAATAAACAACTTCAGGGAAGAAATAAAACTGTTGTCGATGCAAAGTGAAGATATTTTGTTATATTACCTTTACTGAATTATGTCATAAGAATATTTACATGAAAAATATTGAAACTTTTCCTTGGCTCCAAAATAAAGTGACTGATACCGCTATACTTGTTATTGTCGATCATATGATATCCTAACTGCTAATTTAAAAGAAATATTTTCTAATTTAAAACAAATTGATTTTCCAACGTGGATGATGCAGCCAATGGTTGTGGATTTTGTCCTATATTTCAAAAATGCAATATCAAGAAGAACTCAAAGTAATGCACAGTGATGAGTCAGTTAATATTATATTTAATATAAAAGAAGTGAAGGCATGCATTTTTTAGGAAGCAGAAATGAAATATCTAAATTTAACCAAATGTGCAAGGAAAAGAGTGTTACCGTTTCCACATTCATTGTTAATTGATTGTGAATTTAATACCGTCAATAATTTGAAAAAAAACAAAACAAAAAAATAATAATTTCTGAATATAACACAATTGGGAGACTTGAGACTGAATCTAACTATATTGTAACCTAACATAAAATCTCTTGCATCAAACATCAAGCACAAACATGTCAATAAATTTAAATAATAAAAAATAATAAATAATTAAAATAATATAGAATCAAATTTACTTTAAAAGATTTGAATTGAATTTCCGTTCTCCATTAAATCGTTTGTTAATTTACTTACTATGTTTCCCCACCCATTTTCTAGTGATTTCATCCAACAATATATCATTTTTTCTTTCAGCGAACAACCAATTTTTTTTATATTTTAAAAAGTATGTAACAATTTTAGAAATGCTTAGATGGGGCATGTCTCAAAAAAAAGTTTGGGAAAAACTGCTCTATGGTATCTCTTACTTAGAGCTTTTTTTCTTTCCTGTTTTGTAAGGTGATATATTGCTCTAAGACAATAAATCTTGTATAAATTTATCTAAGATTGATCTCCTACTTACTTTGTTGCTTGAGACAACTTTTCGTACACAAGATTATGGCAACAATGAGACAAAATGTCATGAAAGCAATGACTAGGCAGACGTGAAAATAGCTCGTTGTTGAAAGCTCAATAAGTTTCGCCATGACATGTAAACCTGAAACATACATCATACAATATACTATTTTACGCTGAAAATGTAAATAAAACATTTAATATGTGTGTTTATACGGATAGACTTAGCTGATTAGTTTAACTTTTTTATATGAAGAAAGTGCAAGTTAAATTATAGTTACAATATGTATATGCACATTTTTAATTAGCATTGTTGATTATATCTGGAAATGTAGTTAACGTCACATGTATCGGGTGAAAGCTAATGACGATACATTATGATAAAATTACATTAATAAGATATAATTTATTTAACGAAACACTTTTTGGAAAACCCATACATTAAAATTACCGCTCCTTTTAACAATTATCAAGAAATGAACTTACACGAATTCTAATCATTACGCACCATAAGTTGGGTAAACTTTATTTTAGGTTTCTGCACACAACATTTAGAACAATGGCAATGCTGAATACACGTATGCACGGTTAACTTGTGTGACTCAAAACGACAGTGTTTTAAAATAGGTCAAATTAAGTGTGTCTACGATGTTATTGGGTTGATTGGTAGACCTAAACTACTCATACCATTAGTTGAGAGCAGAGTGGTGTGTTTTTATCATTAATCCTAGTCAATGTAACTACACGCAGATCATTGCAAAATTAATATTTGCTTTTAAATTAAAAAAAAAAAAATTGACTATCTACTTAAATGCATTGACGGTCACAAAAAAATTAGATTACCATTTTGCATATTAAATCTTATATTTTTCCAATAATTTCAAATCGAAAAATGTCAGGTAAAAATATACATCCAAAAAAGACAATTATGTATCCTATTTAATTTGATACTCTTATTATAACCCATTGTACATAATAATCAACACCGGACCCAACTCCATGCCCCCTAGCAATAAGATACGCTATATCCTCACCAAAGATTTCTATGATTCCGGTTTACAGAAGGAAATGTTGGAGCTTGGTATTACTTAAATGAGGTTTCTCAACCTTTCACAAGGTGCCTGCCACATTTTTATATGTTCAAATTAACGCCTGACATCATTTAAAGGTACTAAATTAAAACAGTCAAAATATGTAGCAGTATAGTATTATTCTGTACGCTTTTGTCTTGGACGTATCTAATTGCATAACTGAAACAATAGCTCACTGACAAGGCTCAATAACTGATTTTAGCATCTTTTAAATACAAAAAAAAGTGATAAATTACGAGGGAAGTAAAGATGAAGTAAGCATCGTAATTTTGTAATTTAATGAATATTAGATTAACAAAAAAAGTATAACAATTATTTGTGTTATTGTTATTATTACTAAAGGTTTTATTTTGAACAAAACTAGTAGAAAGGCACACATATTTTAATTATTGAACGTATGTTTTTCTAAGTAAAACTTAATATTGGTTGATTATTTGAATGTTTCGTACAACGAATTAATACATACATATGGAAGAAATAAGAAGGTTGTGAAATGCATGCATAAGATATGCATTTGATATATATTTTAATATAAAGCCCATATTCTTTGGGCACTGCCGAATGATCGCGTTAAAGAATTTGTGTTGCAGTGCTTACGCGTTTAAATACTAATGTCATAAATCTCATGTGTTCTCAATAATATGTTGTGTTCTTAAGAGATGCATCAATCATTAAATCGGTCGCCTCAAATATATTTGCCATGCAAAACTATTTGCCATTTGGTCACGTGCCCTGAACCACGCGGTCATTGGGAAGAATGCACACAACTTCTCAGCTGTTCTTTGTTGGAAATTTGATCTTTGTGTAGTCTGGTGTCTTTGGTTGATCGTTTAGATGTGAGTCCTGAAAGAGGTGTTTTTCTATTAATTCATTTGAATGTTGATAAAAGAGATGTATTGATGCTGTATCTGGATTAATGTAGTTAATGTGTGATTAAAGCTGTATGAGGCAGGCGAAAGATTATGACTCATAGGTGTCTTAGTTGAAGATTATTTATGACCTGGGCTTGGCTTGTGTGTAAAAAAACACATTTTTCCATGTGTTGGTCTTCATTTCTAATCCATTCGTTTTGGATGTTTCTTGTCTAGCCTTATGAACATTTGAATGATCTCTACAAATGATGCCGTTTTTCAAGGACGGGGTTGCTCTATATTAGTGTGCTTTCAAATCCTTCGTTTTGGGGTAGATCTTAGATTTCTCGAGCAAAAATTGACTAACATTGTACTTTTCCTAGCGAATCCTGTACTGTCTGAGAAAAAAATTGGCTAAGCAAACTTGTACACCATCACTGAACGCTCATATGTTTTGTACAACTGGCGCGGGTGTAATCTTGGGAATGCCACCTGCTATCCTGACCTCTGAGTCTTTTAACAATGTTTAGTCGTCTTGTTGGCATTCCTTTTATGTTTTGAATATGTTTTCTATATTGAATCTTCGATATGTTTGATTGTCTTCAATTATGAGCAGGATTCCTCTCAGTGATAGAAAAACGAGGTATTTGTAAGCTACACATAAAAAGACAAGATAGTGCAATGTTCTTTTTGGCTATCGTGTTGCTTATATGTATACTGTCTTGGTGTTTATATCTTACTTTTTACTTTTCATGTAAGGTACTGCGCCTTATTAAGTAGTTGCTCTTATATATTTTGCCGTAAATATGCTAGAGCGCAAGGTCATCTTCTTAGTGTGCGGTCTCAACATGTAGCTCGTCATGTAGGTTATTAATGACTATTCGAAAGGAGGATTATTTCTTCATAATAGTCTTTCTTGATAATCTTGTTCTTCTGCTTAAAATCTCTAATATTTTCTCCTTGTCCAGCCAATTAATTAGGGTGTTCTAATTGTATAAATTTTTGTTTGTACTTTAGAAAGCATTCCATAAGCCTTTTAAATATATTTAATTTGTCTTGCAGAATTGTGTACATTAATATAAAAGCTATTGACTTACTCAATGTTTGTGCAATTTTTATAAAAATTTTCTTGTTTACCAGGAATGAAAAAAAGAGCTATTTTCAATGAAACGCTGGAGGCCAAAAGTGTATTCATTTTTATTTCTTTTATGATTCGTTTTATAAATTATAAATACATACAGCCATGATTCTGTAGAAGTTAAAGCCCTTACTTTGGTTCAAATTGACGAAAATGTTTCCAGACACATTGAAATAAAGTATACCGAAACAAATGATACATTTTTTTTATAACTAATGCTATTAGATGAGGTCAAAAAAATTGATACTTTATTGCATAAGTAAATAATCAAAAGGGTTTCTTTTTTGGTCTACTGACTTTACTGATGAAAAGAAACAAAAAGTGAATGTTACTTTCATTTAAACTTTATTTAAAAATTTTTTTCTTGATATATCATAAAAATATAAAATAGAACATGGTTAAACTAGAAAATAACTGATTTTAAGAAAAGCTTATTGAAGCACGACAGCTTCCATGCCTTGAAATCAATTGCAACATTCGTGAACACGTGGAAACAATGAAAACATAAAACAAAAGTGGTAAACATGAGAAAGTGGGGTACATAAGAAAACAAAAAGGGAAATTAGGGTAAACATATCCGAAAAACATATTCAAACAGTCTTAAATAGGGAAAAATATAGGCTCCTTTTATAACGTCAATAATTTCCAAAAAAGCAAAAAGTTAAAGCTTAAATAAGTGGATTTTATAACTCCGGTGACACACACACACATATTTAATTATTTTAAAAAAACTTTTAAAAATAAAACAAATCAATAATAAAAATGAACAGACTAATCAGTTAGACATTGTTTTTTTAATGTGAAATTTGTTGCAAAATATTTTGAGCGATTGTATATAAAGTGACGTTTAATATTTCTTTCCACAAAGATGTTATATACTTAGGTAAAATCAAAAAGAAGGATCAACAAAATTTCCGAATGCATATTTACTTCATTTGATATCTATATGAATTTTGGAAATATTTTTTATTAAATATTAATTATTTAGCATATTTTTAACTTTAAAAAATATTATTTCCTTGTTCATTCAGCAAAATATTAAGATGCTATTGTGTTATATTAGATAAAGGTAAAGGCACTGATCTGCGTGAAATGACCTATCCTTTGTTATCTTTAACTGGTTTAATTGCAATTTAGATAAACATGTGTAAAAACAAATTTTAAAACAATGCCAATTATTTTTTTAAACGTTATAATGTGTATATTTAAGAATATTGACGTATGATCGGTTATATTTCAATCAGTGATTTTGGTCAACTGTATCATTTTAATTAATTTTTAAAAATGTTTGCTAGTAATGAAACTATTTCCATTAATAATCAAAATAACTATTCAATAATTTTTAAATATTCATGAACATCTTCATCAGCAATTGCACTCCTCCGGTCTTCAGTTTTCACTGGGTCAATATCTGGCTTGGTATAGACATGGGCTTCAGACTCAGTGTTGTCCATTTTGTTGTAAACATGAACATTTGAAGAACTCGGATCTTTGACTTGCACTGGGTCAATATCTGGCTTGGTATAGACATGGGCTTCAGACTCAGTGTTGTCCATTTTGTTGTAAACATGAACATTTGCAGAACTCGCATCTTTGACTTGCACTGGGTCAATATCTGGCTTGGTATAGACATGGGCTTCAGACTCAGTGTTGTCCATTTTGTTGTAAATATGAAAATTTGTAGAATTCGGATCTTCAGTTTGCACTGGGTCAATAGCTGGTTTGGTATAGACATGGGCTTCGGACTCATTGTTGTCCATTTTGATGTTCAAATGAACATTTGTAGAGCTCGGATCTTTAGTTTGCACTGGGTCAATATCTGGCTTGGTATAGGAATTGTCTTCTGTCTCACTGTTGTTCATTTTTTTGTAAACATGAAAATGTGTAGAACTTGGATTTTCAGTTTGCACTAGGTCAATATCTGGCTTGGTATAGACGTGGGTTGCGGACTCAGTGTTTTCCATTTTGTTGTAAACATGAACATCTATATAACTCGGATCATTGGTTAGCAATTGGTCAATCCTTGGCTTAGTGTAGGAATTGTCTTCTGTCTCAATGTTTTCCATTTTGTTGTAAACATGAACATCTATATAACTCGGATCATTGATTATCAATGGGTCAATCCTTGGCTTAGTGTAGGAGTTGTCTTCTGTCTCATTGTTTTCCATTTTGTCGTAAACATGAGCATGTGTACTCAGCGGGTCTTCACGATGCATAGCATCAGCGTCTGACTTCATATAGGAAGAGTTATCAGTCCCAGTGTTATCCATTATATCGTAAACACTGTCTATTGGAGTTTCTACATTAAGATCCCTGCCCTTTATATGAGCGTTTTTTTCTACAAATGGTCTGCTCATCTCGACACGTACGTCCGCCATCATCAAGTTCTGTGTTGCTTTAATCTTGTAACCAGCTCTAATTTCTTAATTAAGAGGTGGACAGAATGAATAGAAAATTAAAGTCAAATCATGGTTTGAAATTCTGGGATAAATTGAACTTA